TATATTATGTAATTGATGGGGTTAATGTAACATAGTTAAGATACGGTTGACATACATTCCATACAATACTTCAATTGTATTGCCCATAAAAATGTCAATCGTCTCCTTGTCACTTATGTGGGGCCATTCAATGAGCGGATAAGGACCTATTTAGATTGACAATGAGCGCATAAAGACCTATTCAGATTGGCCGAAGTGTTTAAATTAAATTTTATTAGTAGACGTGAATTGGGGGTTAAACTACCAATGTTACTTGAGTGTTAGATCTACCAATTTTTTTTGTACCTATTATGTATAAATTAAAGTTAGGATTAATACCTGCAGGATGATAATTTACTTATCGGGCTTCTCGAACAAATACTCCAATAGACTACTTCTATTGAGTAAAAAATATTATTATTTCTTTAGGCCCTCACAGATAGGACACTGCAAATTAAACAAGCATATGGCTAAACTAGGCCTATGCACGACAAGTATCTGCAGATTCTGCCAAACTTAAGAGGAAACGCCGCTTCACATCCTATGTGGTTGTAGCCCACTCATGCATAAACGAAATATCTCCTTTGGAAAGTTTACACTCTTTCCCGAGCAGATAAAAACGATCGCTCTTAAGAATATCTTTCAATTCTTGTCCCTGACGGGTCTAGGTAGCGAACTCTGAAAAGGGCGAGCACAATAGATCTATGTAGGTCGCAGTGCTACAGGTGCTACACATCTAACAATAGCCTAAACAACCCAATAAAAAAAAAGAAAATGACAATTTAGTTAGTAATTTAGAGTAACACACAAGTTTCTTGCTCATTCTTGTGATGAGTCTGCGTTCTGAATGAGTGGTAGAATAAAAAAAAATGTGAATATTCAAAAGTATTTATATTAGTTTATTCGAATAAAGATTATTTCTATTCTGTTCTATTCTACATTGCACTGAATAAAATATTTTTCTTTCTTCTTCTTCTTTCTATTCTATTCTTTATCTTTTTGTGACAGTTTGGACATATATAGGACGTTATAAAATAAAGCAGTATCGTGTTGTAAATATATGTTGTAAAACAATGTATATTAACATAAACCTCTTTTAATAATATATTTTAGTCATCATATTATATTTTTTAAGCTTTTTAATTTTAGGTTCTTAGTTGCATAATTACGTTATGTAAATACTAGTAATAAATATATTTCTTAACATAAATATTAGGATATTTTTACTATTCAAAAGTGCTTATAGTAAGTTTATTTGAATAAAGATTAATTCTATGTAAATCTAAAAAGTAATTAACATATCTGATAAAATCTCATACATTTTATAGTAGTTTTTAAACTTTACAGTAATATAGCTCGTACATCAGTATAACATATAGGCTATAAATTTCACGGGCACAGCTAGTTATTATAATTTGTAAGACTTCCAATAAACTACTTATCTATCTATCTATACTCTACTCTCTCTACTCTGAAAAAGGGCAAGCACAACAGATCTATGTAGGTCGCAGTGCTACAGGCCAAGCGCCTAACAACAGCCCAAACCCCTCAATGATTACATAGTATAAAACTCATGTACATGTACACCCGTGCGAAGCCGGGGCGAGTAGCTAGTCACTACATATTATAAAACAAAGTCGCTGTCGCTGTCTGTCCGTCCCTATGTATGCTTAAATCTTTAAAACTACGCAACGGATTTTGAAGCGGGTTCTTCTTATAGATAGTAATTCAAGAAGAAGGTTTATAGGTATATATAATACATGTACACCCGTGGGAAGCCAGGGAGAGTAGCTAGTAGTATTGTTGCAAACTATTTTTATACCTTTTTTATTGTTTGATTTTTTATAATATTATATTGTTTTTATATGACATAAGTCAATTTAATACAAAAATATTCTACAACTACAACGGTGCCGTTTTACTTTTTGCTCGTCATCTTGATCTCCATCCTTCACATTTGGTCCTTCGTTGCCGTTTTAGTATTTGCTATAACCATGCATACGAGATCCAAGACGCAGCAATGTACTCGAGCAAAGGATACTAGCGATGTATATTCAGGGTCGGATATGCCTGTCGCAGATGGGCTCAGTCGGTCACCTGTAATTGACCACATCGTAGACGAAGCCACGTTGGCATCTGCGTCTGGCCACCCTATTACATCTAGTCAGTATCCCACAGTTAGCACCGAACGTACGAATATTAGTGCCGGCTCCAGATCGCGTATATCGGGGTCTCTGCAGTCATCGTCCACGGTTAGGGCACGTAGGTTGACTGCAGAGGCACAATTAGTCCGACAACGTATGGAACGGGAGCGTGAGCAGTTCGAACGTGAACAAGAGTTCGCCATGCAGCTGGCCCAGAAAAGGTTTGAACATGAACGTAAGCTCATTCAACAGGCGAAACAAGTAGAAGAACTGGAGATGGAAGCAAACCTAGCGGCTCAGTAATCAGAGCGCCGCTCCACTCGTTTGGTTAGTCCATCACATTCTCGTACTGCGTCCTGGGTAAACGACGCACATAATACTTTTACCTGTCCAAATATAGACATTATTGAGCCCGTAATGAATCCGAAACAAAAAGATAATGCTCATTTTTTAGCAGGTTCAATTCCGGAACCAAACTATGTCGATCGAAATTATGTAAGTAATTCATCTCATCATATTTCGGAACCCATCAACCGTAACATTCAGACTATATTTTCTTCTGATAATGCTAAAAAACATGAATATTTGCAATATGTTAACAATGAACAACCTTTGACATGTCAAATTACATCAAAATCGACTAATAATAATTTATTTCGGTCAACGTCAAATATTCGTTTCTCTAGGCAACCTACATTGAACGATAACAAACAGTTTTCAAACACATTGCCTAAGAACTTAGAAAATAAAATGGATGTTCCAACCGGAGTATGCTCACACAAAATTTCACATAAATTCATCGATTTATTGCCATTCAGCGGCCGAGTGACCGAGTGGCTTATGTTTAAACGTACCTACCAAGATTCTCAACACTTATTTTCACCAACAGAAAATCTCGCTCGCTTGCGATGTGCACTCCGTGGGCGCGCGCTTGAAAGCGTGTCTGCGTTGCTGTACACGGCTGAACAACCTGAAGAAGTTTTAGAGATGTATATATATATTTACATTTGCATTGCCAGAAGTCATCGTCTGGCACGAGATTACCCTTGTTCGAAGTTTGCCTAAGATAAGCTATGATCAAAAAGAACTCAATTCTTTCGCATGTAGGTTACGTAATTGTATATCAGTCATTAATAGCTTGAACCAAAAGGAACATTTATACTCATTAGAAATATTTCATAGTGTACTAAGCAAATTGACACCTATATTATATAGTCATTGGAAAGACTTTGCTTACTATAGTGACAGGACAATCCCAAAATTACAACTTTTATCTAAATTTCTTGATATTGAGGCTGATAAACAAAATAGGTTCGGTCTAGTTCTTGATTACTCAAAGCGACCTGCAGTAAATGTAGTTAGCAATAATCCTATGCGTTACCATAATATTAATGCCATATCCACACGCAAAACAAATACTGATCTTTGTCGTTACTGTAAAAATAAACACAAATTGACTGATTGTGACAATTTTAAGTCACTTACTTTAGATGACAAATGGCGTTGGTTACGTGAGGTAAAAATATGTTATAAATGTCTTAAGTCAAAGTCACATCGTTGGAAAACCTGTAGAATTGATCGTTGTGGTGTTGATGGTTGTGAACGTTTTCATAACCCATTATTGCACTCGACATCCACACCTTCCATACATCATGCTGTTAATGAGGTTTCTCTCTTGCCTTCTAATGAAACTGATCAGAAAAGTAACGTCATGGTTACTAACACTTATTCACACAACAGCAGCACATTACAACATAATCAAATATTTTTAAAAATCGTTCCGGTAGAAGTAAGTGGGCCTAACGGAAAATATGCTACATACGCCTTACTTGATGACGGTTCAACGGCGACTTTAATCGATTCTGAGGTGGCAGATCGTATAGGAGTCACAGGGCCAAAGGATTCAATTAAGGTTGACGGCGTCGCCGGCATGTCTACATATAAGCCTGTCCAGCATGTAAGTTTTTCAATAAAAGGTAAAAACTGTTCTGAGATGTTTTCTGTCACTAACGCCAAAGCTATCGACTCACTTTCATTGTTCACCCAAACTGTCAATCGAAACGATATATTACAACACGGTCATCTTCGAGATTTGAGCAGTGAACTTACACTTGTAGATGCAACTCCTAAAATTCTTATTGGTGCTGAACACTGGTATTTGACAGTAAGTCGTGAAGTTAGGGAAGGTTCTAAGAACCAACCATTAGCTACGCGTACTGCTTTAGGTTGGGTTTTGTATGGTAAGTCAACTAGGTGGACTAAACCAATTAATTTTATAAATCACACCGTTTTCAACGATAGCAGTCGTAGTGATTTAGTTATTGAGGATCTTATTAAAGATTATTTTCGTTTAGATGCTATAGGTATTTCGAAGTTAGACAGTTTGTGTTCCAAACAAGACAAACTTGCTTTAAATACGTTGAATACCACCGCTAAACGTCTGCCGTCTGGTCGGTTTGAAGTAGGCTTACTATGGTGCGAAAATATTCCCGATTTACCTGATAGCTATCCTCATGCGTTATCTAGATTTGTTGGTTTAGAGAAACGTATGGCTCGAGATATAGAGTTCAAAAAGGCTTACTGCAATTTCATTAATAATATGTTTGAAAAGGGTTACGCTGAAGAATGTCCTAAAGATACATACCATGATGCTGTCGGCCAAACTGAATTAAAATCGGTCCGTTGGTACTTACCTCATTTTCCAGTAATTCATCCTCAGAAGAAAAAACTTAGGGTAGTTCACGACGCAGCTGCGAAGACTGCTGGTATAAGTCTAAATTCATTATTGATCCCGGGCCAGATCTGTTGCAATCCTTACTCCATATTCTTTTTCGTTTCCGTGAAGGTCGTATCGCCTTAACAGCTGACATAAGGGAAATGTTCCCACAAATTAGAATTAGGAACCATGATCGCGATGCTTTACGTTTCATTGGGAGAGAGAATAGTAGCAGTCCGATAAAAGAGTACAGAATGACCTCTGTAATTTTTGGCGCAGTCTGTAGCCCATGTACCGCCTTATACATTAAAAATCGGAACGCCGAGGAATTACAGAAGTCATACCCCGCGGCAGCAAAAGCTATAATTAATGATCACTATATGGATGATTACTTAGGGAGTATGGACGATGAAAACGAGGCTTCGCAGCTCGCGGCTGATATCGTTACTATTTACAAGGCAGCAGGAATGGAAATGCGTGGATGGATATCAAATGTACCCACCGCGCTTACTGCTATTCCTGAAAATTTACGCGCTGAGCCACTTGAGAATGTTCACGTAGGACCTGAAGCATTTGTCAGAACATTAGGTCTCATATGGCACCCACAAAGCGACACCTTTAGTTTTCGTCTTGGGCCCGGTATACCTGATAATGCAAAATTAACAAAACGGAAGGTGTTGTCTCATTTAATGTGTGTGTACGATCCACTGGGTCTTCTTACTCCACTGATAATTCAAGGACGTATATTATTTCAACAAACGTGGAGAACCAGTGTTGATTGGGACACCGAGTTGCAATCAGATATGGTTCAAAAATGGTTATTCTGGTCTCAACAATTACGCAAAATTTCTGATTTTAAAATTCCTCGTTGGTACAGATGTGGGTTCCAGAACAAACAAATCGTTGACAGACAGATTCACGTTTTTGCCGATGCAAGTGAGCAAGCATATTCTTGTGTCGCTTACTGGAGATTTACTTTTTCAGACGACTCCGTGAAGTTATCACTCATTGGTGGAAAAGCACGTCTAGCTCCGCTTAAACCCACATCTATACCTCGCTTAGAACTTCAAGCATTTTTGATTGCAGCTCGTTTTTCTCTTACCATACGCTCCAGTCACAGTGTTAATGTGAATGCAACTTATATCTGGTCCGATTCCACCACAGTATTAAGTTGGATTCGAAGCGACGCCAGAACATTCAAACCATTTGTCGCTAATCGTGTCGGTGAAATCACAGAGATAACTAACGTTAGTAACTGGAAATTCGTACCAGGTAGTTTGAATGTTGCAGACGATGCAACAAGATTTAAAGATCGCGATACTGATTTGAAGCGATGGTTCTCTGGACCCGAATTTTTATTATTACCGGTCTCTGATTGGCCTAGAGAACCATTGACTTCGGAGACCCTATCCACTTTCGAGGAGTTAAAACCCACGAAAGTGGTAGTGGGACTAACAATTCTGGATGAACCTTCATCGGTTACACCAGATCCCTCGCGCTTTAGTGAGTGGTTTCGTTTGGTGCGTGCAACCGCGCGCGTTCACCAATGCGCGAACAAATTTAGATCTCTTTTGGCACGTTTTAAAGATCCAAATTCTAAATTTAATAGGGACTCAAACCTACAATCTCCGACCGCTTCAGATATTCAGAAAGCTGAAATTGCTATTCTCAGAAAGTCGCAGATAGACAGTTTTAACCAAGAAATGGCTCTACTACACGACTCCAAACCTCTGCCAAAATCGAGCAAACTACTTTCTTTGTCTCCTGTACTTGACGAAGAGGGTCTTCTCAGGTTGGATAGCCGTATCAAGCGCCTAAAAAACGTTGATTGTGACGTTGTATCCCCTATTATACTCGATGGTCGTCATCCAGCTGTACGTCTTCTTATTCGTCACTACCATGTCAAAGCCGCCCACACTTTCAACGAGTTGGTTTGCAACGAGTTAAAACAACGGTTCTGGATTTTTCGTTGCCGCAGTGAAGTCCGTTCGATCGCCAAAAGATGCATGTTTTGTGTGAAACGCAAGGCTAACCCACAGATTCCTCCAACAGGTGACCTACCAGAAATGCGTCTTGACCACCATTCACGTCCTTTTACAAACGTCGGTTTAGACTATTTCGGTCCGGTGGAAGTCACAATTGGTCGCCGCAGAGAAAAACGCTGGATTGCCTTATTTACATGTATGACAACTCGTGCTGTTCATCTGGAAATCGTCGCTAATCTGTCATCTGATTCTGCCATTGCCAGTTTACGTCGCTTTATAGCACGCAGAGGAGTACCGAAAATAATGACATCTGATAATGGAACGTCTTTTGTGGGAGCGAATCGCCAATTAGCCGAGTTCCATAACCAGTCCGTACAAGACTTCGCTGCCGCTAACCATTGTGAATGGAAATTCATACCACCTGCATCGCCGTTTATGGGAGGCTGCTGGGAGCGTTTAGTACGGACTGTCAAAACCGCTCTCCTGACAACTTTAAAGGAGAGAGCACCAAAAGAGGAAGTTCTTCACACTTTCTTGTTAGAAGCGGAGGCTCTAGTCAATTCCAGGCCTTTAACATACTTTTTGCTCGTCATCTTGATCTCCATCCTTCACAAGTATTATAAAGAGGTTGTTTGTGAGTTTGGATGTTCAGAGTAATCTCTAATACTACAGATTCGATTTTGATAAATCTCTTGATTCTAGAGGAAGGTTTATATATATAATATCTATATATAGACCCGTGCGCAGCCAGGGCGAGTAGCTAGTAAAAAATAAGAAGCAAATCCATCTAAAATTAATATTATATAACAAATAGCGTATTTAATGGCCACTAACCTTGGACAGGAGTATAGGAGCGACCAGTACGGAAGCGTTATAACGAGGCGAATGAATCAGAGATGTGATCTAATGATACTAGTTACATAGGAAGTCTTCGGAATGTCCCGGAACAGATTAGCTCTGTGATTGTTGTGGCGTAGTAGTACCTTTTCAGAGGTAGCTAGTTCGAATCCTGCTGATACTATTTTCTGTGAACTATATTTATATTTTTAAATCGTCAATGATGAACACCCAGTTTTGATTAGATTTAAAATAGTCTAATTCTATTCTAATACGGCCTCGGTTGTATGGCAGTTTCGACACTCTTACTCTGATGGTCGCGGGTTCGATTCCTCGGTACAAACATTTGTATTCCAGAGTATAATTGTTTGTATTCTGTCTGGGTATTTTCTATGTAAATGTAATATGTATGTATTTCTAAAAATAAATATATCTATGTATATGTAACAGTTGTCTAGTACCCATAACACAAGCTTTAGCTAGCTTAACTTGGATCTAGATGGCGTTGTGTGAATTATTTATTTATTTATACTTACGTCATATTCTCGAATTTCTGTTATAGGTAGAGTTACGAGTCATGCTGACCAAGTAATTGTAATATATTTAATTTATTGTTATTTGGTCTTTCTGTAACAACGTACGCACTATACGACAGGTATTTAATATTGCTGCTTTCTTATAAATAAATAAAAGTAACCCTGAACAATTAAAACGCCATCACGTTTAGCGCCATCTAGTCCCACGGTAAGCAGAGCTTATGTTATAGGTACTAGACAACTGATACAAATAAATACTTACTTATATATTTTTTTGTAAATACATACATAATATACATAGAAAACACCCAGATCAATACAAACAATCATACCCATGAATACAAAAGTTTACAACGTACAAATCAAACCCGCGACCATCGGAAGTAAAGCGGTGAGCGAAACCGCTAAACCACCGAGGCAATCAGTTTCTGCATTGTGATGTATGTATTCGGTGGTAGATTCAAGTACATTTTTTTTATTACCGTCATCAGATCACGTGTGTTGTATATACACGTGGTCGATGTCACGGGCCCTACTAGTGTCACAATGAAGACAAAACTCAATTGCATGTTGTAATATAATCCAATATTAAACAACCAATAGCATTCACGATGATGACTCGCGTGATAAACACGCCACTCAACTATGTCCTTACTAATGTTATAAATGCGAAAGTAACTCTGTCTGTCTGTCTATCTCGCTTTCGCGGCAAAACTACTAACTACTAGAACCGATTTAAATGAAATTTGGTACAGAAATAGTCTAAACCTTGAGAATGTACATAGGTTACTCCAGAAATAGTCTAAACCCTGAGACATTCTCAGGGTTTAGACTATTTCTGTACCTACACGTACATAGGTTACTCTTTGATTCGAAAAAAAGGTTGTTTCTATATATATTATGTATGCATTTACAAAACAATAATCCTGGAATATTCATAACACAAGCTATGGTTAGCTCAGGTCTAGATGGAGTTGTGTGAATTGTACAAAAGAAAAAAAAACAGTACATTTTTGGCATTGAAATGTACACATGTATAAGTCTGATGAATAACCTGGTGTTAAGAGGAATCGAACCCACGGCCATCAGAAGTAAAGTATTGTGCTAAACTGCTAGACTGGCACATAAGTCTGATAAGTGACCTACTGTTAAGAGGAATCGAACCCGCGATCATCCGAACTAAAGCATTGTGCTTAACCACTAGACTGAGGCCGTCACTAATCACTGAAACGGCTTAACCGATTTATGTGCGGTTTTCGCTAATACATAGTGGTAAGTTTCATTTAAAACTTAATGAGGTTACAAAACAACAAAGTTGTACGGGTATGAACACGTGGGCTTAACCTCTTTTAATTAAATTTCAAATATTCATAGTACATACTATAAAATATATACTTTTCGATAAAATCTAATCAAATCGTATGCGTCATTTTTTTATTTTATCTCTACACGTGCGTAATTATAATTTACTCACACAAAACACTATTATTATATTTATCTTTGATAATTTGTAATCAGATTAATCAATAGGTTATGACTCATTTTAAAAACATTACACTTATCGAGTCTATCACAAGATATTAAAACTACATAAGCATTCCCGTCCAATTCAATTTAATCGAAATTACGACGGCCTGAGCTGAGGTTCGAACCTCTAGCGGTGCCCTCAGAGTAAAGTCGTATCAGGCGAGAGTTGGTCTTCAGCTGCTCCATAAGTCCTTTTGGTTTGGAGTGCCATATGATCTCGTCCCCTAGTTGGAGCAGCTACATGGAGCCACGACATCATTGGATGAGAAAGAAAGAAAGAAAAATATTTTATTCAGTGCAATGTAAAAAACACAAGAAGGGCTGAAGATCGTGCCCAGTGGCATACCTTTGTCTAGCAATGGAATGCAATAGGCTGATGATGATGATGAGGTCTTAGTCCTCAAGAATAGCAACGCAGGGTAACACGGCCGTCACATGATGACGTTAGGTATATAAGAGGTGGGCCAAAAAGCTTGTTTGCCATCCTCCGATCGATCCCCTGATCGAGGTTCGAATCCCTAGCCCTCAGTCTAAAGTCGTGTCCGTTAGATGGGAGCTGATCTTCAGCCGCTTCATAACACCTTCCTTTAGTTTGAGTGTCATCTGCACTCGCCCCCTATCGTCCGGTGAACTATATATATATATATATAAAAAAAACAGTATTGTAAGTTGAAAAGATTTGTACTTTTCTTAAAATGAACTCAGAAATATCCAAACAGACTTGATCTTGACAATACTCCTAATGTTTGTTATATATCACAATGATAATGACTTTCAATACACGGTCTACGTTGATTATAATGTTTTTGTAGAAAACACTTAAAATTCATAGCGCTGACAATATTATTTGATTGCGCAAAGATAGAGTTCGTAGCGATTTCTATGTTGATTTTCGCATGCCTTATCATTGTTAATGTGTATTTATTTAAAAAAAACATTAATTTAAAAGAGCAACACGCAAGTTTAATGCTCGTTCTTCTTGTGATGAGATCTTGCGTTCCGAAGGAGTGGTAGAATAAAAAATATATGACTATTCTAAAGTTTATTTGAATAAAGATTATTTCTGTCTCTAGTTGGTAGTTTATATTCACACATTTCAAATAGATAACGTAAAGTTACAACAATTATTTATTTAAAAGAGCAACACTCAAGTTTCTTGCTCGTTCTTTTTGTGATGAATCTGCGTTTTCAATGAGTGGTATAATAAAAAAAATATCTCTGTGTTAAAGTTTTTATATAATATTAAGTTTATTTTAATAAAGATTAATTCTCTTTTTAATTGGTAGTTTGTATTCACACATTTCAACTTAATAATGTAAAGTTACAATATTCAAAAGAGCAACACGCAAGTATTAAGGAATCAAATATCCTCACCGTTGCCTCTCAATACATTTATGAAAATATCATCTATGCCAGAAGGAATATAGACAGTTTCAAAAGAGTCTTTTATTAGTGATTGCACTAATAAAAGCTTACGTAACAACAACAAACTGATTTTACCTAAATGTCGTTTGGCTAAAGTTAGTAATTCGTTTTATGGCAATTGCGTAAGGTTTTACAATAAAACACCAGAGTCTGTTATAAATCTGCCAGAAAAAAGATGTTTATAGAAAAACTTTAAATCTATAGCACTGACAATATTATCTGATTACATTAATAATGAGTGCGTAGCGATTTCTATGTTGATTATCGCATGCCTCTTACTTGTTATACTGTAATTATTTATATAAAAAAAACATCTATTAAAAAGAGCAACACACAAGTTTCTTGCTCATTCTTCTTGTGATGAATCTGCATTCGGAATGAGTTGTAGAATCAAAATATGATTATTCAAAAGTGCTTGTAATGAGTTTATTTGAATAAAGATTATTTCTATTTCTATTTTGCTCGTTCTTCTTGTGACGAGTCTGCGTTCCGAATGAGTGGTAGAATAAAAAAAAATATAACTATTCAAAAGTGCTTCAATGTATTTGAATAAAGATAAATTCTATTTCTATTCAACGGCCACGACATATATTCGCACAGACGAATAAATTTCACTTCTTTTATTATATCTATACATAAATGACCATTTAGTATAATTCTATAGCGACCTATTTCAACGTTCCCACAACTTCAACCGGTATTACTGACTTCCGTTCATGACGTGGTGGGTATGACGCATACAGTGGACCGAATGACGCCGGCCATCTTTGAAGCGTAATAGTGATAAAGACATTCCCACGAGACGTTACCTGATAACGTGGCATGGTGACAAATTTTTTTATAACCCTGGACAATTGATAAAGCGCCATCTAGTCCTAAGTTAAGTAGAGCTAGTGTTATCAATGTTAGAGGCATTTTTTTGTAAATACTAAAAAAATATACATAGGCCTATAGGAACAATTGCAGCGTGCGAAGAATCGAACCCGCGATCATAGGAAGTAAAGCGATGTGCTAAAGCGCTAGACCACCGAGGCCGTCAATTTATATTATAATAGTTACTCGCCCCAATTTCGCACGGATATACATATATTATATATATTAACCTTCCTCTTGAATCACTCTATCTGTTAAAAGAAACCACTTCAAAATCCGTTGCGTAGTTTTAAAGATTTAAGCATACATAGGGACGGACAGACAGCAACAGTGACTTTGTTTTATACTATGTAATGATTTTATTCCATATTTGTTCTTCAAAAGTTAGAATTTGTAAAATCTGGACAACCACTAAACTACAAGCAGTGGATGGTGACCTCATTGCTAGCTGCTAGGAATGTCGGGTCGATCTACACGCGGTCTCCTTGGAAACCACTATTTTTTTAGTGAAATGGTCTTGATGTGAACTCATGGTCATCTTATCCTCCACTGGTACCCTGCCAATGTAAACCGTTAGCACATACAGATGCAGCATTCCGTTATCAAAGATAAAAAAACATTAGGCTACAAAGTTCATGGTGATTCTATTGTAAAAATAGAAGAAAAAGTCTACAAATTCTTCTTAAATATGTTACAGATAATTTAACATATCGTCCGATATAGTGCCGCAGACATAATATTTCCTATGTCTTGTTTACATATAGAAATAGTAAAAAGATGGTGTAGTTTGTCCGTTTGTGCGTAAAGTTTCACGTAAAACAAGGAGAGAGATTAGGGGTGGCGCAGGACCGATCTTCGTGGAGATCTTTGGGGGAGGCAGTGGATGTCTTCCAGGCTGAGATGATGATTATGATGATGAAGCAGAAGGAATTATGACGACACTTTTATAAAATACGATGTGAATTAATATAGAGTGAAAAAAGTACCGCTAACAAAAAAGTGGAAATTTTGTGAATAACTTCAATACTGTGGTATTGCTAGTAATAATATTAATTGTCGGCCTTTTAAGAAGGAATAGGCTCTTATCTTGATTCTCTTTAATTGATTACCGCCGCCCAAGAGCACCCAACACCAGGGGAATTGCAAGTGCTTTGCTAGCTCTTTTCTTGGCTGTTTTAATATCGTATCGGTTCGGAAATATTATTGCTGGAAGGTGATTCTACAATCTGAT